CATAAAAAATACAAAGAGAGAAAGCAAGAGTATGATCTTGATCTGGAAACCAAGATGCCTAAATGTATGGCAAATGCCTCCTTTTATAGGCCAACATTGGGAACTATTGATTTGATGACTAATTGATAAGTGGGTGGCCAACTTTTGACTTGGTGACAATCCTTATCTTCTTTTGTCTGCCCAAAACATCATTGATAATATCCAAATTGAAGTCACTTGAAAATATAAAAGTTGTAGGAAATCATCTCAGCTTTCTTGTTTAAAAATTTTAGATCATTTCGACTTCTAGAACTCCAGATATGACTCAAATACTGAACAGTGCTCGGGCTGGAGGACAGATTCGGACTTTTTTGTTGTTGCTCCAATTTGAACTTTAAAATGACCTTTTTAGATCTTGGGCTCCATATGAAAATTATAGGCCTATGTCTTACCTTTCCATCCATATAAAGTAGACCTAAATCTGAGATCTATAGCTCCAGATATGATCCAATTACCGAATAGTATTTCGGTTTGGACTGCACCGACATCTCTTTTCTAAGTTTGGTCATCTCTTTGTCCTTTCAATTTCAGTTCTTAAATTCATCAATCAATCCTTTCATTTATGTGATAGGCCTGCATTTAAAATGAACATTTATCATAAATTAAAGGTATCTTATATTATTAGATATATTATTATAAAACATGCTTTAGTTGAGTTGTTGATACTTCAAGTGCAGAATGATAATATAAAACCTTGATAAAAATGCACTTTTAAGTATTAATCAAACACCGTACATGTACGATAATAATAATTTTTTTCATATTTTTTCTAACAATTTAAACGTTTACAATGTTTAATATCGTCAATTATATGTGATGACATTAAGATATATCATTTATAGATAATAATTAAGTTTTAACTTACATGATAAATTAATATTTGAGTAAATTACCCTTAACATTCTATAATTTAGTCAAAATTGAACTTATCAAGTTTTAGATAATTATAATTTCCAACCTAAACTTTGATGTGTGCATAATAGTTTACATCTTATACATGATGCAGCAACAAAAAAATTAACAAAAATTATCTAATTTTGTACAAGTTTGTCATTATTTTTCATTTAATAACTAAAAAGGTCCTCTTGCATTAAAATAATATAAATAGATACTTCACCTCTACCTCAAATCTAAATCTATATTGTATATCCATATCTATACATTAACACTTCACCTTGTATATATATATTTTTGTTTTTTCTCTCTTTCTCATACACAGCTTATAATTTTTTTATTTTTTTTCTCTAAACGAATCCATACATTCTTTGAAAAAGAAAATTTTTATGAAAACCCATTTTTCAGTTTAGGATCTGAAATCTAGAAAATCTCCTTTGATATAATCTCTTATTGGAATCAAGAGATGTTGAGCAGAGTAAATAAAAATAAAACAAAGAAGTATAGAGTATATGTAAATATTGAGATTTTTAAATAAGTCTAAGAATCATGTACAAGGAAATAAGAATCTACTTTTCTTGATAGCATAAATTAAAGAAACTAAAAAAAGATCAATCTTTTAAGAATTTGAAGAAAAACATGAAAAAGATGAAAAATATAATCTTTTGGCTAGAAATTAGCCCATGGGAGAGGGGAAAAAAAGAAGCAAAAACCCATATGAAAATGTGAAGCAAATATTAAGGAAAATAAATTTGTAAGTATTTTGACAAGTTAAAAGAATGAAGTTGTGTGTGAGATTAGATAGGAAGATCCCACCATCCAATACAAATAATCACATCAAAACATGATTCAGTACAAGAAATTATATTCACTAATAATTTTGTTATTTGATTTGGAAGAAGTTACATTCTCTTCACTATTTATTAGTGTGAGAGAGAGATGATATATTGTGTTAACTTGTGTTATGCTTGGGTTATTTTTTAAATATAAAATATATCAAGATTTTGTTATTATTTTTTTTAATGGAATAATAAAATTTAAATTTTATTAAAATTGATTTAATATGATCCTATCAACTTAATAAATTCAAAAACAACATAGATGACTAGTAAAAATATAATTTAACTTAAAATAAATATTTAAAATAATAATTTTTATAAATATCAAGACGGTAATATATTGGATTAATTCGAAATAATCTAAATTAACATGTCAATCCACATATAGGTTTATAAAACCATCATCTTTATAATAAAAAATTAAAATAAATTATGAAACTCAATTTCTAATAAACTTAATGTTGAAAGATGAACTTGAAAAAAAATCAATAAAAAAAATTATTCAAGTCAACTCATGTAACCTATCAAATTTAAATTGTGTGAGAATTGATCTGACATAATCTGATCAACTTATCAGGTTTAAAGATAACATGAGTGGTTGTAAAAACATAATTTGGCTCAAAAAAATATTCATGATATTTCATTTTATAAATATTAAAATAATAAAATATTAAATTGATTCAAGATAATTTATGTTAACCTGTCAACCCACATACGAGTCATATGACCATAGGAACCTCATAAAAAAATCAAAATAAATTATCAAGCTCAATTTTCAATAAATTCAATATTGAATGGTAAAATTAAAAAACAAAATCAATTTAAAAAAAGACAAAAAAATAAATCAATTGAACTCGAGACAAATTCTCAAACCCGCAACTCAGGTCATGAGACTGAGATAACCCAATAAAAAAAATAAAACAAATTATAAAGCTCAATATTTAATAAACATAATATTAAAGGATGTAATTAAAATTAAAAAAATCAATTAAAAAACACAAAAAAATACTGAAATCAATTCCAATTAACTAGCTAAACTCGTGACTTAATTTATAAAACTGAAATAACCTTATAGAAAGTAAATCGAAATAAATCACGAAACTTAATTCTTGATTAATCTAATATTAAAAGATAAAGTTTAAAAACAAAATTAATTAAAAAAAAAAAAAGCTCAAGTTAACAAATCATGAAACTCAATAATACCGAGTTCAATTTCTTTGGTATCAAAATATAGTCAATTATCAACTTTCACTCTTGTTTCTCATTTTTTTAGAGATTTTCTTTTTTGTCTCTTAAACTCAAGAATCAAAACATGAACAAAATAAATTTTTTAATCAAAATATAAAATACTAAAATTAAAAAGATAAAAAAAAGTCATCAATCAAATAAGCTCTAATCCCTGCCCAAGTTCAAGAATATAATTAAATATTTAACTCACAAGAATATGCAAATAGATCGGACCATAAACTAAAAACATCACAATCAGTACATGCAAGGATACACCTCTTTTAGAAAATAGTTTTCTTTGTAATTGTAATGATCTAGGTTGCACAGTGGTCAACAAAAATGACCCGAATGATAACTTATATAGAGGCATTCATTATAACATTGTAAATATGAAAATAATTTGAAAAATTAAAGGAAAAAAAATAAATATAGTTTTTTTTAATGTTTTTTGAAGTATTATTGTTCAATTTTTTTGTTAATTTGTTTTTTTTTAATGGTATGTGGCGAATAAAAAGTCATAAATAAGAAAAATAATTTGATTGCATATTAGTTTGAGGACTAGAAAATAAAACAAGAAGGAAAACAAATGTTTTATGACAGTCACCTAGGACAGAGGGCCAAGTTATAAACGCGGAATGAATACATGAATTCGGTTAAAACAAAAAACAGACTCAGTCAAAACTTTAAGTAGTGCAGGATAAAACCCATACAAAACCAGGAAATGACACAGCATAATTCAACATCCAATTCCCGCAAGGCTTATTCATCAAATGTGCTCATGAATCCACCGATAAAGCCAGCTCCGTTACAACTTCCACACAAAATCTCCCTTTTACCTCTGCAAGGAAATACACGTTTAAGAGATCAGCTTACTAGAGCCATGGAGGAAGCTCATCTGTTTGTGGATTGGTCAAAACAGAAATTTGACACATAGCTAGCTAAGACTACAACGTTTTAAATCTTGTTAAATAGAGGTTGGATCATATCCACCCAGTGAGAAGGGTGCATGTGAAGATACACTTCCTTGTCTAATGCAATTATCGGCACCTATATTTAGTTTAGCAAGCCAGAAAGGCAGGTGTTTATGAACCCAGCACGTGAATACCTCAAGGTTCCTTCTCAGTGAAAGCAAATGTTTTGAACTCTACAGCCTACACAGTTTTTGAAAATGGTAGATATTTTGGAAGAACCACATTAATGCGGGCCAAGCTTGACGGAATGATACATCAATTAATCTTAGTGGTACTTTTACTGGTTTATCACTATGTAGCAAGCAGATAATTGTGAGAGGACAACTTGCTTCCTTTACCTGCAGAGCCAACATAATCCACCAGCTTTAAACTGTCCATTGAAGTGGTCCATAGAATTAACTCCCGAACCTTTGCATTGAGTACACGATATTGCACCTGGTAATGTGATAGAAAGGTATAAAGTTACACGAGCTAAAACTTTCTTAGGATAGTATTAATAGGCGATTACAAGCTTTTGACTCAAGTTAATGAAGATGACACTTCACAGAAAACTCATGCAGGGTATCAAAGGGAAGACAAAATCCCAACGTACAATATACTAAATGAACTATGGAACCGTCTGGATCAATAGGAAAGTTCAGTTTGTAATTTCATTGACCAAAAACTTTGTGAAAGATTAATTATGCCAGCAGGAGATTCATTAGATAATTTACATCTGTAATCACATTAAACAATCAGTAATGGTTTATTGCAGACATCAAGACCAAGAAAGCTCCATCCAATTTGTATGGAAATCAGCATCAGCATGCATACCAGGAATGGAAATGAAAGTGATGCTAAAACAGAATGAAATTCTAAGAACAGCCAATCATAAGACAAGCATGCATAGATTGAAGCTCAACTTCTACAGGGCCACATACAACAAGTACAATTGCAAGAAACTTGCAGCTGAGCTGTCAAACTGACAAGAAGACATGACACTGAAAATATAAGAATCCAATAAAGGAGAAATGAAAAAAGAAAACAAAAAGTAGATATAGGGAGTAAATTACAACTAACCGTTTCCATCACAATCAGCACAGACTATGCTATTTGGTTTGGTGCCTTTGCTGCTTTTGTTACTACCATCTGTAGCCTGTCAAATAAATCTGAAATGACTTTCCAGAAAAGAGTATCTCAAAATAGAAAAGAAAAGAGTAGGTGAAGACAATCAAGCTTCACACATTTTCACCATGAGAAGAAGTATTATGTGAACCATAGGCATTTAACATTGGCAGCTGGCCATGGAAATATTACAACAAATGTCTAAAATCTAAATATATTTCACCATGGTGTTAGTCATTTAACTCCATATCAGTTTGGTGTTGTTATTTTAAGTTTCGAGTGTTTGAATCTTTAGTTTTGCATATTCTTTCAGGAATTTGAATCTTTATAAGCCCACTTGTTGGCAGCCATGTCCCCCGTCCCCTCAAAAGGTCAGGTTGAAGCCTCTCTTCCTTCTTCTTTTATCAAGTATGAAAAAAACATTTTAACTTAAATTGAACAAGTGGTCATTTCTTTTCTTCACAGGGATTGCAATGTTACTGTAAAAGCATCCCACATTCCCCCCATTGTTAGTTTTACTTTAACACACCCATTAAGGATCGTTTGATTAAAGATCTGTCAGACTAATCAAACTTGGCAACAGCAAGATTTGATAAGAGCCCATATGAAGATTTACGAAGGCGAGAATAAATCCTCAAACATGTCAGACTGAGGTATAGAGATGAAGAAAACCCCACCCCTAATGCTCAACCTATAAATTATGCAGTACAAAGTGGATTGAAAAGGTAATGCTTTTTATGATAAATTAAAGGCATTGCACTCCTAGGTGAAGTTGAAGAGCAATACGCACAACAAGATAAGCCTAAAATGAACACTTGGGAACACATAAAATAAAAACAGAAAATGCAATTTTTGTTGATCATTTATAATTGAGATGAATGGAAAGTTCCATTCATAAAGAGAAAGAGACATGATATGCCAAAATATACTGAGTTTAACAAACTCTCACTTTGAAATGGGTTGAATGAAACCAGTGAAAAAAATGACCTCCTCTTATCTTGTGAGTTGGAACCAGTACATAAGAAAATAAATGGTTTCAATCTTAATGCTTGGCAGAAAAACATGGCAATATAGTTCCCCGAAAGGCCTTTGTCGTAAAAATTTTTCTCATGTTTCTCCATTAATATACATTAAGAGCCAACAAGCACTTGTCGCGGTTCTGACAGCAAGTTAAAGTATTGCATTAGCAAAAATGATGATTTAACTCCAACTACACTCGCTAAGTTATATCAAACTTGGGATTATTACTTTGATGTATGAAGTTTGATCAGCAACAACTCTTTCAAGGCTCTAACATAGCAATTATCCTATAGAGCACTCGATGAAAAATTAGAAAAATAAAATACAGGAATCTTTACTTTAAGAGAGAGCATAATTATAATAAGTACACTCACCTTGACCTCCAAGGATGGAAATCTACAAGTATGGAACACTGGCTTCGCCCGAAGAAACTTCCCAGGAACCGAATTCCCAATAAGTGCTGCTTAGAATGACAGAAACCCAAATACTGTCAACGTTTATTTGAAAGCGAGAGGGGGGGGGAGAGAGAGAGAGAGAGGGAGAGAGAGAGAGTTGCCTGGACGTTTTAGAGAAACAGAGGAGCAAAGGGGTGTTGAATTCACAACGGTTGCCATTCTGAAGAGATTGCTATCGAGGAGGATGAGATGGAAGAGTTCTTGCGAAAGTGCTTTTCAGTTTTCAAATATTTATGAGGAAGGGAAAGGTAGGGAAGGGACTCATCAGATAAGGCTCCCTCCTTGCTAATTTCATTGGCCCAACCAAAAAACCAAAAAAACCCTGAAAATCAAAGGCGTCGTTTACAAGATTGAAAGATGTGTCGTTTGAGTTTTTAATCCACTGCCCAAAATCTGCTTTGTAGTTTTTTCACCCAATTTTTTATGGATTGAATATTTTAACAAATGAATCTGACTTTTTAATTTTATATCAATGAACTGAGTATTCCTCGTATTTTTCAGGTTTTTTCAAGTGAATTTGCTATCAAAATTTTCTTTTTATTTATAATTAATTAATGTGAAAATTTTGTTTAAGAATTAATTAATTTATTATCTATATATCTTTTACCATAAACTTAAGTATGAACAGTAAAAAATATCATAAAAATTATTTTTATGAATCAAAATAAATGGTTTGATAAATAGATGAAATATCAAAGTTTTAATTAATAAAACTACATAGAAAATTGAAATATTGTTCGTCTAAACCACTTGCTATTCATTATAGAACTATAGTTTGTTGAAAATTATAGTAGAGATTATTTTTTAAAATATTTTTTATTTAAAAATATATCAAAATAAATTTAAAAAAAATTATTTTCACATCAATACAATAAAATAATTCAAAAAAATCATATTAAAGAAAAATTCAATTTTTTTCAAGATATGAATTGTTATTGATCCACAAACGCACAAAAAAAAAAGACACACACACATATATATTTATAGACTTAATAATTTATTATAGTCATATCTAGAATGATTATCAATAAATGTTATTGATCGACAAACACATGTGCATACATGTTTGTGTATATAGACTTACTAATTTATTAGATCTTTTATCATTTATAATAAAAGGGTCATAATTATACTTAATAAACAAGTTTCATAATCAAATAGATTAAAATATCTCTTTTTATATGTCTTAGTGATCCTTATTTTATTTATATGACCTAATGATATAGATACCTTTAAAGATACACTAAAATTAAATTTGAATGGTTTGCAACTTAACCTAATAAGAACATACCTTGAAGAATTGATACAATCAAATAATTGATATTTTCTTTCAAGTAACGAGTGTAAAAGTAATAAATAACTTGACATGACTAAAGTTAATCCATATGGAGGTTAAGGATATAGAACCACAAATAATAAAAGAAATAGAATTAAAAATATCCACAAGATGTGATATTAATGTAAGGATTTAATATAAATAAAATAATTATCAATGTTAGAAAATTACTCAACTGGAAATCACTTACAAATAAGGATCTAAATGGATGTTTTATCATTATTGGCTCGGTTTAAGTTATTAACATGAGTATTGTAATAATCTTTAATTATCTTATTTAAGTAACATCAACACTTGTAAATGTTGTCAAATATTCATGATGTTAACTTATATTAACAACAAATTAAGGTTTTTTCATAGTATAAATATCAGTTCTCCATATAAAAGGCTATGAAAGAATAAAGTATTTGTTTGTGTCAAGAATTGTACACCAAGAATCAAGACTCACCATTTAACAAAAAATGTATTAAAATTGATTAAAATAACAACTATAACACATGCTAACAACAAACTTTTTTTTTAATGTAAACATTAAAGTCAAATATATCATTGAGTTCTAGCTTTGTTTTATTATTATTATTATTATTACAGGTGTTTATGTAACTAACATAGTTTTTCTCTGTTATTTAGTGCATAAAAAATAAAAGGTATGGCATTTTGTTTATAAAGAAATCTAAAAATCCTATAAATGATAAAATATGAATTTGCCTTTTAAATAGTATCATATTTATTATTTCAGGAAAATTTTATAAATTTATTTAATCAAGCCCTACTTGATTTTTTCTAGGTCTAGAATTGTAATCCCCTATATTAATTACATTATAGTCTATTTCTAAAACTTATTTACAATCAAGTCACTCTTGATTAATCATCTTATTTTAATTTTTGACAAATAGATCTTATATGTGTGACTCATTAGGTTCTCTAATAAGTTGTTCTAAATATAAATTATGATTTTAAATAAAATAAGATTAAATAAATTAAATAATTTAATTTATTATCAATTCAATAATTAACTGATTTATATTTAAAGATCAAGTACAATGTTTAGTAACCTAATATGATTCCTCAAATATTAAAAAAATTATAAGTGATTTGATTTAACATTTCAGTTACTATTTTCTTAGGTAATTATTATTCCTTCATAAAAAATATTTTAATTTAGATATTATAGCATAGAATATGTCTGTTTTGTTAAATTGTTTTTGTTCTCAACACTATAATCATTGACTTTTAAATAAGATTTAAAATTTTTTGTAAATCTCATTTTACCTTGATCAAGAATCTCATAATCAATATTATTTAAGAACATTTGAAATATTTTCTCTAATTCACTAAGGATGAAAAAACTTTTCTTGATTACTGAAAAATATTAAGATAGTTTATATTATACTCAATATCTTCTTATTTTTTGCCTTTTATTATGACAACGTGCAATCAAGATCAAGACATAACACTTTTTATACAATATAACTTAGTGACTTTAAATTTAATGATCATTTGCATAACTGTTTCATGAACATTTTCATAGACACAAAATGATCTTTTCAAATAAAACTCTTATGTGGGTTATTTTAATGTATATATCATCTAACAAATACTTATATATTAGTTGCAAATATCTTTTATGCTTTAGTTTTTAAAAACAACTGCTTTCTTACATCAAGAAAGAAATATAATATTCATTGGTCTCAACAAATTTAATTAATATTCAATCTTATTAGAACCTGTTGACCAAAATTTTTTATGAATAATGTTTTGATACAATATGAATTTTATAGTTATAACAACTTTATGATTTTCTTTATAAATCAATTTGTTTTAAAGACTTTATCTTTTCTCTAGATTAATTAATAAAATATTAATGAATATTAAAGATAAAAAATTCTTTATTAATAATAAATATATTTTATATGAATAAAATCAGTGTTGCGTATAATTAATCAATTGATTACATGACATTTTCACTAACAAATAAATCATTTCTTAATCTTTTAAATACGTTTATATAATTTATATTATACTTAAGATATATATCAATTTGGTAATCTTGATTAAAGCAATACATGATCGATGTCAAAGTATAGTTCTTCTCATATAAAATAAGTTGTTGATATCAAACTTAATAATTATATACACAATAACAATATAAATCTTTTTATAAATATACGTAATTGGGTAGCTTTTGTCTCAAAAGTTTCCAATCAGTACATGCTCAAGAGTCTCCACATTATTGTAATAAAAATAAAAGGGTATTTTTAATATCTAGGAAATTTATAGTTATGGTAGCGAAGCCTAAATAAATTCCTTGTCGTGATAACTTTCATACATGGAACTAAAAATCATCATAAAGAGTTGAATCTGGGTTTTTTTTTATAATTATAAGAAATAATTTTGAAGTAAAAGAGTACATTAATGATGGTTGAATTATAATTCAACGGCAAAGTTGCTTTTGATTAATGCTCGAGTAAAACCAACCAACCCGACACGGACAGGGACAGGGAATCTTCAGGGAGGAGGGGATTTGAATATGGGAGAAAACATTGGGATTTCTCCTAAAAATCGCTTGTAACATTTTGCGGAAAAAGGTATATAATATTGATAATTACATTTTGATCCATTCAGAACCATCGATGAAGGTAAGTGAAGTAAAGGGCTTAGCTTCCGAGTCAGTGAGTTCTCTCGACCATGACACTCTCCCTGCGAAGCGTGCTCCAGGCCCTGTGCATTTGTATTGCCCATAGAACACAGTCCTGCCAAGAAACAAATCATAGCAAGGAACCCGAATAATTAACGTCATTAGCAATATGCTTCCAAACACACACACAAACACACTCTATCGCAGACAACAATCTAGCTATACATGGGCAAACAAGAAAAGTCAGCATCAACATTTTCTTCCCTTTCATTTGCTAGTTTTCCCCTCCCCCCTAACACGGTGGCCGGAGGCTTTCAGCCTCTCGCGAACACATCCTAAGAAAAACAGTTCTTACAGCGTTATTGTCCTCTCTGTGCTCTCTCTTGGGCAGTGGAGAACCAGATTTATGTCTGCATGTGCATGGCTTATAAGGTTTTGCTGCTGATTTTAACTGTTATACTTCTTAGGAAAAAAAACATAATTTTAGCTCAATAATTTAAATAATTAGGTATAGTTATGAGATATAATTTATATTATTTTTAAATATATTTTTTGAAGTAAAAACTTTTTAAACTTAAAATTTATACAAGTTTATATTACCTTGTATTTAATGTTTTATAAATAAATAAAAATAATAAAATTTAAACTCGTGATAATTTGATTATTAAAATTTTATACCATATTTAAAAAATATTTTAACTCAATAATTTAAACTATTAAATAAAATTTAATATATAATTTATATTATCTCACAGATAATATCCACTTATTAATATTTTTAATTAAATGATCAAGGATAAATAAATATATGCCATGCATGTGGTGAATGACTTGACATTTCTTACTGAATTATAGTTGGAAATGCAGAGAGAGAGAGGGAGAGAGAGAGAAGGAGGGAGAGAGAGATTTACAATTCACGGTTAGGATCTCCCCAATTATACCAGCCCTTGGGAATAATGATGCCGTCCATGTAAGTGTAAGCAAAGACGACCCGAGAAAAGGGGCCCCACGCCCTCCCCAGGTAAAGAGCACCTGAGCCCGTGACCTTACAGTTCACAAATGAGAAGCCCGTGTCTTCTAGAAGACTGCTCCTCCCTTGTGCCGTTAGGGCCCCAGTGAATTGAGCTATTGCATGCACGTGACACCCCTACATTCACACCATATGATATCGTTAATTATTTAATACTGCCATGTAGGACAACGTTACATCAACGACACAACTCCTTACATCCTTAATTTCAGACAAGAGGTTGTAATGATTTTTTTCTTCTTCAATACAATATTTTAT